ATCATAGAATAAAGATACATTTTGCTTGCTTGGCAGCTTCTCACCAAAAAGCACGTTTATTTTTAAACCAAGCATCGCCATACGAAATGCATGGAAGTAAGTTGCTATAACTGCTTCTGGTGTGCAAATGTTTGGAACATATTTAAGCAAATATTCCAAAAAAAAAAAAGTGAGAATTTCTCCCGTGCATCCCAGACCTGTGATGAGATCAAGGTGCTTTGCTTTGCTCTCAGTGCCTTCCCTGGGGCACAGCACACCTCTGAGCAGCCCAAACAGCTCAGGGTGTTATTGGGGTAAAGAATAACTTAACACCAGCGATAAATAAGTGCAGGGAGGTCCCTCCCTCTGCTCCCCAGAGCTACCTTGGCTTGCAGGTGAGCCCTGGCAGGGCTCAGTCCTGGCCCAGAGGCAGCTCCTGGGAGCCTCAGGCCCTGGCAACTCTGCTGATGTTCACCTGATAAGGACTCAGCCTTTTATGCTGGGTTAACTTGAGCAGTATTTAATTCTTGCAGAAGCTTGGCATAACTAAAAGGCTTGGCAGCCTGGGTTATAAACCGCCAGGAATTTGAGAGAAGTTGATTTAGTTTATTTTATTGCGTGCCAAAAATGCTATTTAAGGTGTCTGACCTCAAGATGCAATAAAAAAGAAAGTTTCTCTGATCTTCTTTGGCACCATTTTCAGAGTCTTTCAATGTAAAGAAAATATTTTGTTGATGTCTGCCATCCTCTTAAATCTGAAATATGCAAGGAACGAAAAGCTCTGATTATCAGTAACAACATGAAACTTTTAGTGGATTTGTTTCTGTTCCCTGACTTAAGTTCTTGACTTGTTCTTTGGTGTCATGAAATGAAATGTCTCTGACATATCAACATCATGTACAGAGTTACTGGCACAAATGAAGTGGATTTAGTAAAGCTTTTTTAGAATAGACATTGCCTACTAATTCAGTCTCTGCTCATTAAGACCAGCAGCTTATTAAAGCTTTTACTACTTCATTGAGGCAGAACTTTTTAGCTAGAAGAGAAAAATACTGCTTGGCTTTTAATGAGAATTTTCAGGCTTGATATAATGAATTTTGTAGCACCTTACATGATGCTTACTGAGATGCTAAGCATCTGCAAGCACTTCCAGATGGAAATATGATGTATGCTGCACTTGATTTATGAAAATTAGTTAGTTTTCAGGAGCTTCAAGTCAGATAATGGTAAAAAAATTATAGTGATGTATTTTTCTAGGAGTCATGGGCAGCTCTGAGAGCAGGTTTTTTCCTATCTGTTTCTTCTTTCAGAAGCATCCTTTTCTCTATGACTTTGAAGTTCTAAAGAGCAGACTCTCTTATTGTTTATTTTAAGTATTTTGAAAATATACTCCAAAATATTTTAGACCCTCACTTTCAAGCATATCTTTCCTAATGGTTTCTAAAAGGTTTGCAAGTTTGAATGTTGAGAATTTCCTTTTTTACTATGACTTGACAAACAACTCCTGTAAATTAAAATTTAGTGATATTATGGTAGCATGATAAATTCAAATAGGTTTTTCTGGCCATGTTCTTGCTTGTAAAAGCTGATGTTCACATACAAATTTTGTTTATTTCATGTACTATACCCACAGCCTACACACGTGACCTTGAACGCTGGCAGTGAAAATTGCTCGATTAATCTCTTACACCAACTCGCCGATTTTTCTTTTGTTTGATTTCACTCTACAAAGAGAAACTGCAGCTCATGGATCTGGAAAGTGCTCTTTCAAAGGCAGCTTTACGAGGCAGGGATTTCTGCTTGGCTCTTCATGAAGCATTTCCCAGTCTCTTGGACCCATCTTCCTTCCTGAGCGTTCTCGCATCATAAAGTTTGTGCAGAGCGAAACGTGCTCTGATGCTGTCTCTGTACCCTATTACCTGCTCCTGAGTGAGGCAGCAAGAAGTGTCCAGATATGTAATTGAAAATTAATGAGGAACTTAGCTTTTTATGGAAGACACTGGCATTCAGTTTGCTGCACAACAATAGCACTGATATCCTGTCTCAAACAAGCATGAAAGCAGTAGAGCTTTGTTTATCTCACTAGTCAGCAGCAATCACTCCTGACTGCACACCAGCAGCAGATCTGCTGAGTGCAAAGGTACCCTTTTTATGTTGCTATTTATCAGACCAAAACTACTGACTTTATTCTCAAAGCATTTGCTTTATTTATTTTGGAGATTGGTGCTCTTCCAGGAGAAAAGTAGAAACCTATTTGAGGAGAATCAGCATCCGGGAAAAGTGCTTCAAGCCTGCTTTTAGAAGTTACTTCCTTTATTTCCTCCATTATTTCAATGTTTACCAGACAGCTTCAAAGAAACTTTCTGTTTAAGTCACCTTTATGCCACCCTAGAGCTGCTGATAAAGTACCTGTGCTAAAATACCCATCAGCCTGCTGAGAAATGAAGCAAGCTGGAGCACAGCACAAGACCAGCACAGGGTTTTCAGACACTTCATTTATTCCTAGCTTTGCTACTTTTTGTGCATGTTAATTTTCTTGGCTTTATTTTTATTATTTAGCCAGTGGCCAGAGGTGCAAGAAGGCTGTTATGGTACTGTTGGCAATCACATGAGAAGATGCAACTCAGCTGTAAATAGGCAGTGAGCTGTGATGGAAAGAGGAAATAGAGGGAATTAATTACACTAGAGTAATAATATCTCTGGATGCTGTAAGAGGTCTGGGATTTGAGGCTGATTGTTGGAAAGAATAACTGCTACCAGTTTCTACATATATATTTTAACATGAGGATAGCTGTGGGGGCAGAGAGAGGGAGAAACAGGTTCGAGAGTAATGAGAGGAGCTGGGGTGGATGTGGGTTGATGCAGAGGTTTTCCTGGGAGGCTGCTAGAGCCACTCTGAGTACTGGGATTGCAGTATCTGGGGCTAATATTCCTTTATTTAATGCCTATTCTGTGGCTTCTCATTTTGATACACCCCAAGTCTAGACGGCTCAAGTGGCATAGAGTAAACTTTAGCTTAAAATTTATTTGAGATTGTTTCTCTTAGTGGTAAAGCAGTCAATGTAAAGGTAAGGATGCTTGTCTGTCAAAAAAGAAAAGAATGCTGAGGCCTGACTGTGCAGCAGTTTGTAAGTCACCTGTCCAAGGTATGGAGAAGCTGTCTGAACTCACTTCCATACTATTGACAATTTTTCCTTCTTGGAGGACAGGAGACAAAAAGAGGCTGGGAAAGAACACAAATAGAAATAAAGCAAATCCTAAGAGTGATCTGCAAAAGCTTGAAGTGGTTTATGTCAGTGTTCAATATATGGGACAAAGTGAGGAAGTTTGTGAATTTAGAAGCAATCTCCTCATCCCATTCCTTCCCCTTTCCTTTCATGGGATAGTTGGTTGGTTGGTTGGTTTGTTTTCTGTTTCACTAATTTGATGTTTTTGAGGTTTTTCATGCTGTTGCTTCCTTGACTTTGCAGGAAGGGATTGTTGGGGGGCCAGGGAGTCTCAAATAGCTGCTCTTGGAACTATTGCAACTTCTTTTAAGTTGCAAGATTTAAATGTTTTTAATTAAGTTGACTTTGTCTTCAAAACGTGAATTTGGTACTTAAAATCAAACTGTGTTTTTAAAGACTCTTTTCTCATCTACTCTGACCTCCTCCCACCACCAAGGTCACTCAGCTGTACTGCAGAGAGGAAGCGTGGAAGGGAAAATGTTTTCAGTTTGCCAGGAACCACTACAACCTCAAGGGATTTTGAGCAGCAGGTCATTTTAAGAACTGTGATTTGTTAAAGTACCTGGAATTTGTTCAGAACATTCTTGTTGGTGCTGTTGCTGGTAGAGAAACAGTTATTCAATTTCCCAGTATGGTCAAAGTGTGAACAGCAAAATTCGTTCCTCTCATTTGGACACACCTTGTAACACAGACCGCTTTCAGCACTATCCAGAGTGACCATTTTCAAGCTTGTTAACTTAAAAAAGGCTTGTTTCTGCACATGGGAACCATGACAAACTGTGCTGTAGGATGGTCAAACCATTAAATAATCTACAGCCTGTTGCACTTGGCACAGCTCCTTATTGTAGCCTGGATGTGTGTGTCAAATCCAAAGAGCCAAAATCAGCTGAGGTGCCACAGCTCCTATTTAAATCTGTATGTATGTATATATGAATTATGCTAATGCCAAGCAATTATGTAAATTCCTAGCTTGGCAGATTGTCCATGCTGGATAGGAAATGTTGATTCCCTGCTCCAGAGGATGGAGCTTGTTGTAACTCAATCTCATCCTCTCCCTGCAGCTCCACAGAGAGGCCTCGGTGAAGGGGAATGTATAAACAGCTGCAGCAAGGCTGCTCCCAGTGCAGATGTGTCTTCCTGCAGTGAGATCTCTGGGTCACCAGGTGTCCTGGTTTCAGCTTGGATAGAGCTCATTCTCCTCCTGGTAGCCAGTACAGAGCTGTGTTGTGGAGTTGGGTTGGGAATAATGTTGATAACGCGCTGATGTTTTGGCTGTTGCTAAGTAGTGCCAGCCCTGAGTCAAGGACTTTCAGTGTCTCATGCTCTGCCAGCCAGGAGAGTCACCAGAAACTGGGAGGGAGCGTGGCCAAGGCAGCTGACCCGAGCTGGCCAAAGGGATATTCCATCCCATGGGACGTCATGGCCAGTATATAAACTGGGGGGAGCTGGCTGGGAGGTGCCCAGGGCTGCTCGGGGACAGGCTGAGCAGCTGTCAGCAGTGGGTGAGCAATTGCATCATTGTGCAACACTTGTCTTTCTTCAGCTTTATTTCTTTGTCTCTTTTCATTACAAATGTTTCATTATTATCATAATCATCATCATCATCATAATTATTATTATTATTTCTTACTACTACTATTTTACTTTGTTTCAGTTATTAAGCTACTATTCAGTTATTAAGTTACTATTATACTTTGTTTCATTTATTAAGCTGTTCTTATCTCCATCCATCTCTTATCTCCATCTTATCTCCAAAATGTTTTACCTTTTTTCTGGTTGTCCTCCCCATCCCAGCAGGAGCAGAGAGGGAGGGAGAGAGGAAGCAGCTCTGTGGTACCTGGTTGTCATCTGGGACTAAACCACAACACCAGGGACCATGCAAGCCACACTAAATGGAGCCTCTCCATGAGGTAGCCAGTTCAGCTGCTCTTTTTTTCTCCAGAGAAATGCTCTGCTTCCTTCCACCCATCCAGCTGTCCTCCTGGCTCCTCTGGGTTCTTTCTGTCCTTGACATGCTGTCCCTCCTTAGCCTGGTTGTCTCAACACCACGTTTCTTAAAATGCTGCTGAGCTGCTTTTCAGTCACAGGTTGGCAGTTCTGCTCCTTCCAAGAGCTTTACTTGTGTTCTTGATCCTGTTCAGATGTAACAGGACATGAGCATGGGACCGAAATGGGAGAATTGATTGCACTTGTGGCCAGGAGCTGTTTGTGCCGCATTTCTGGTGGCTTGAGAAGTCATTGTGGTTATTTTGCATGATTATAGATTCTATCTCGGTCTAGCTTCCAAGTTGTTTTGATCAGATGACCTCCAGAGTTCACTCCCAACCGAAATTGTTCTGCAATTTATACTGCTACTTAAACATGGTAAAGATAAGGAGCAGATGGTGCAGTAAAAGAGCTGGTGAGCAGAGCTCAGAATTCGGAAACAAAAGGTGATTCATGGGCTAAAAAATAGAGAGGAGTCCAGTGTGTATCTCTCTTTTGCAACTCCACATATTTGCATAGGCTGGTATTCAAATATTGGCTGGTCTTGACAATCCACTATCTAATTGATAGATCAAAGAAATAAAGGTCTGGCATATATTTTTTTTATGAATGTTGTTTAAAACTCTTATTTTTAACTCTTCTTAAAAGAGAGCTAGCCATGAAATGTTTACTGCTAAGGCTACACAAGCGGCTGAGAGATCAGCTTATAAAAGAAGGATTAACTTGTAGATTTTTCCAGCTCTGATAGGTTATTAACACACTTTGATTCATTTATACCCTTTTGAAACCACTCAGTAACAGCAGGGTGGTCCCAGCTGTTCACCAAAATAAAACTTCCTACAACAATAGGTTTTATTGGTGATGCATTTGTATATATTAATTTTGCAGATGACTTGTTACATTACTGAATCACTGAACTTTCATTCCTCATATAACTAAGCATTTGTGTTGCTACTGCAAGCATTCACACAAGTATAAACACCATTGCTCAGCTATAATGACATGTGCTCTCCCAAAGTGTTTATTCTACAGTGATTTGTGCTCCAATGTGCTTTAACTCCTAGTGCATTGTGTTGGGGGGATTTTTTCCCTTCAAGTAGAAGAAGAATCATATGCTTCTGGAACAATAATTGGTCTTAAATGGCACCAATACCTGCTTGAAAATCAGATCAGTCAGGAATTAGTGCTTGTTTTAGATTCTGTCATTTCAATCTTAGTTACCTGAAACTGCCAGTATTTTCAGAAGGCAGGGACTGAAAATTTTGGTCTTTTGCCTTGTATGATTAATAACTGTTATTCCAAGTGACAGCCTCCAAAATCACCTGGAGTAGTTTTTTCCAGGATTCTCTTTGCAAGTTATTCCAGGACCATTAGCCTTGGGAGTTTGTGAGAGTGCTGGCCCCAAGCTGTGCCTCCTGTGTGTGCTGAGAGTTACCTTCAGGGCCATGATGGTTGCTGCAATAAAGATGCAAGTGAGGAGGTTCCTGGGATGACATCTACTCCAAGCTCTGGAGTATAACCATAATTTTCAAATGTTTTCATGAATATTTTCATTTTTCTAATCAGAATTCCATAGTTCCTGTGGCACAGAGGTCCTTCTGCACTGCTGGGTGCCCATACCACCTGTGGCCAAGACCCCTCCCAGTCCTGGGGATTGTTTTGTTGGTCCAAAAGCTGCTGCCAGCCCACATTGCTGTGCCTGTTCCCAGCTGTTTTGCTTCTGAGCCCCTTGTATTTGCTTGGCTCATGGGGTGTGTGCTCTTCCTGTTCTTCCCTGCTTCTTGAGCAGATATATTTACCCTCTGTCATGTTTTTGACTCGTAAAGTCTGTCCTGAAGGGTTATTTAAGGGTGGATGTCTTCTCTTACCTTATAGCTCTTACTGAGTGCTGGTGATTGCACTACAGAAATAGAAACCAGTGATTTATGTTCATTCCTGGTAATAAATGACCTTGGGACCTGGTCTCTCAGGACCTAAACTGTAAATAATTAAGCTTTACCTCTATGGAACCCTCACTCAACCCAGGCTGGTTTTAGCTGTACTTTTATAACAGTTACCTTTTAGTTCCTTTCCCAGGCACTGTGGTCCTGCAGCATGGTTAAAAAACCCCCAAAAATTGAAAGCTATGGACACCTTGTTTTTTATATGCATGAGATAATAAATGCTGTGCAGTCAAAAATCTTTAGGTTTTTTGAGCAGCTGATGTAACTGCAGAGCAGCCATGTGTTAATTCCAACTTGGGCTAGCAATTCCAAGCAGGAGCAGGCTCTCAAGCTCATTAATTCTGTTTGGTTTTTTTTTCCCCCCCCAAGTTTATCAAGCTATAATCTTTGGGCATCTGACTTTTGTTCTTGACCAACCTGATACTGGCGATTTGATTTTTTTTACTTCATATCCAAATAAAAGGGAGTGTGAAGAAACCAGGGGATGATGTAATTTTTCAGTATTAGCTGGTGGAAAATATTAAACATATACTTTCTAATTTTCTCTTTTTTGAATTTGGGCAATTCAAAAAGTGTCAGTTGTCTGTCATAGTCTAGGATTTTTAGCCAGGAAAGGCTAATTCATATTCTGAGTAGACTGTTCTTTGAACAGCAACACTCAAATAAAAATGTAAGATTTAGTCCTGCGAGCATATTGTGGTGAAATAAATTATTGAATGAGGCATTTGGAAGTGAGTGTTAAAGATTACAGAAACATCCAGCTGAGTGCACACCCAAATATTATTTTTTCCTCTGAGAATCATCTAGGTGCGTGGGAGAATCTTGATTTTCAGGGCATAGGATTTTCCAAAATCAGTATTTAAAAGGGACTAATGGAAGCTGGGCAATTGGCTGCTCTGTGGTTCCTTCAACCCCTCCCCCTGGAAATCTCTGCAACAAAGGAAAAAAAAAGGAAAGCTGTAGCTTGTGTTTGGAGAGAGATTGGCCTGCCTCTCATGATGTTCTTTTAGAGGTTTCTTTCCCTTCTAATCCATGCTGTGAGTTTATCTCATGGTTGACTTGTACTAATTATCCGTGCTCAGTAACTTTTTCAGTGTCCAGGAAGTCCCACACATTGTTGTGACTATATAGCTTCCATCCTCCTTCCAAATAATTCTTAGAAGTCATTTCCATCATCTGACAGGGTTCTGTCTCCTGCAAATCCTATGGACTTTCTTTTCTACTTTTGTAATTTGATTTTAAATGTAGACCTGTTGATCCAAATACTTCTTGTATTAGCAATCACTATTCAAGTGTCTGTTTCCTTTGTGCAACAAGATGGGGATTGAAATTCATCAGGGATCAAAAAAAAAAAAAAAGGAGGAATGAAAAATAAAATGGAAGCAAGGTTTTATTCCTATCCTTATTCCTGTGTTTGTGAGAGAGCAACACAGCTGACGTGAAGTCCGTGGGATGTGGACAGTAGGCAAAATATGTTGTGGAGATACAGTTCCCTCTGGATAATTCAAAAACACACAAAATAATCATTATGCTGCACACAATTTCCTTTGTTACTCTTGTGGCTTGAAACATATCCCAGATTCCTCAGGTTTTGTGCAATCTTTTTTTCTTCTTCCATAAATCTGGAGCTGTGGATGCTTCCTCCCTCCTCTGCTGTACTTTACTCCTGGGGAGGAGGGGATGTCCAAATGCCATTTCTGAGTAACAAACCCTCTTGTGTTCAGGCCAGCAGCGTGAGTCAGGAGTGAGAGAGTTCTTCCACTCCTTGCCTCTGCTCAGACAGGTTTGGAGATCTCTGGAAAAGCATTTGTGGTCAGTTTGGCATTAGTTTTTATACTGCTTGTGGTGAGTCTTCTGCATCTTGTGTATTATCTTCTTGGATAATATCCCCCTGGAGTGCACTAAAAACTTGATAAGGAGAGGAACACTAGATAAGAGCAACCTGATATTAGGGAAATGCAAATTACATGACATCACAGTTTACATATTTCCATTTCAGGAGCAATCCAAGAGGGTAACTTCTCCATCATTAGAGAAGTTTCACTGATTTATGTACTCAGGACAATTTGCAGTGGTTAAAGTCTTGTTTGGCAACCATTGCAAGCAAGTGCTGCAGCAGTTAAGACTTCACTACGGGGAACGAGGGTGCTGTACAACAGGTGCCCCAAATTTTGCAGGAGAACCATTGCTGCCACTGGTTTCATGTTACCTGAGCACTTCGTCCTTCTTGTCACCTGCCAGAGGTGTCCTGTCACCGTGCTGGGGCTGCAATGCCTCTTCTGCTCACCATTGAAAGGAAGAGGAATGTTTAGCATCTCTGGAGCTTCCAGACTGCACCAAGACTTTGCCAGAGAGGAAGGCCACGCTGCTGCTGCTGGTGAAGCCTGGGAAAGCAGCAGCTGATGTGAAACCTGTGCTTCTGATGTGAAACCATCCAGTGTCAGGGAGGAGAAAGCCCTGAGCACACTGAGAAGAAGCCATCTACTAAATAACGCTAAAATTTGGCTGGAGTGAGCTACACAGGAGCCCCTGGTGCTCTCCAATAGATCTGGACAGCAGGAAAAGTATTAGGACACCAGGTGGGATTTCCCTGCTTGTAGAGTAATGGATCCCCTTACAAAAATCTATGTTTTTCTAATGTGTTTCAAGCAGAAGCAGTCAAATAATCTGGAAACTTTTAGAAAAAGAGCTGTACCTGCCCTTTACTGGGGAAAGAGTCAATGAGGAAGACGTGGGCAGCAGGGCCTGACCTTTCAGAAACAATGAGGGTGTTTGGGACTATTGACCACAAATGTCCTTTTTGGAACCTGAAGCTGTGTGAGTTTTCTCCCCATCTTGTGATAATAAGCTGTCAGTCTATTCCAGACAAGCACAGGTCTTGGCAAGCCTCAAAGCCATCAGCTGAAAGCTGTCTTTGGTGTAGCTGGGTGTGAGAATCCAGGTGTGAGGGCCCCTCACAAAGTTCCAGAGGAACTCCTGGG